GTGGAGTGTTTCCTACCTTCACCACTAGCCGGCCTTCCCCCACGCCTGGCCGCAAGCCTGCTGGGTTAGGAACATGCCAGCCACATGAGCGGGCCCGGTGGGAAGCTGACCGTCACAGATTTCCGCCGTACCAGTACAAGGACAAGTTTTGTGTGTGGAACAAGCAGGGCGACATCCGTCCTCCTGACATCGAAGAACGGGAGGTGGCCATGGGGTTCCCTTTGGGGTACACCAAGGCCTGCATGCCCAAGTCGCAACATGGCAACATCCAGTTCGAGGATTGTCGGCTTAGTCTAGTGGGCAATTCGTGGAACCTCTTCGTGATCACCTGGTTGGTATACTGGCTGTTCTTCCCGTTGGGACTGTGTGCACCGCGGTCTTTGCAGGACATCGTGAAGAGCCTCACGCCCGGATGGTCTCCTACTTTCCAGGGAGTACTACTGCGGCCCCCTTTGAGGGCTGTCAGGGGCACCAAAGTTGATGCATCGTTGCAACTCGTAAAGAAGTTCCTTGGGGTCATTTCTATAAAAGGGGAAGATCTGCTGCTTCAGGCTTCTACCGATGTCCATGTCCGGTTCCACAGGTTGCGAGCATCTATCCCCAGCAGATTGTGGCGGTGGAAAACTGTGGCGGGATGGACTTGGAAATCACATACAGACCACATCAACGTTTTGGAATTGCGCGCCATCCTGAGCTCGGTCAAGTGGCGCCTCGAGCAGCGTGGACAGATGCACAAGAGGTGGATCCATCTCACTGACTCTCTGGTTTGCCTGCACAGCCTTTGTCGTGGCCGCACGTCGAGCCGCAAACTTCGTAGAACCCTAACCCGAATCAATTGCTTACTCCTCGCGACACGCTCCCAGCCCCTATGGGGGTATGTGCACACGCACCAAAATCCGGCCGATAGGCCAAGCAGGAGGGGTGTCCGCCGCAAATGGTTAAAGCAATGAAGCACGTTGAAGGGAGGTCGCAACGGGAGCGAGCAAAGATTCGGAAAGAATTGGGTTCACTCAAAAGTTTGACTGTGCAGCCAGCTACGCGTACCAGATATGAGAAAGCCCGGACGCGTTTTTTAAAACATTTGCGAGATGCAGGGATCGCAATTCCAAAGCAGAAACTTTTAATGGATGAGTTGGTCTCCGATTATATCGAGACTCTGTGGTCCCAAGGAGAAGGCAGGGCTTTGGCTTCGGATACCCTAGCCGGACTGCAAGATTTGGACCCCAGCCTCCGCCACCAAATGCCCCAAGCATGGCGCCTCATGAAGGCGTGGAACAGCAATGAGATACCAAACAGAGCTCCTCCGTTCCCAGAGAGCCTTTTAAAGGCCATGGTGGGCCGATGTCTGTTCAAGGAACACCACAGCATGGCCCTTTCTCTGCTTGTGGGATTTTATGGCTTGCTACGCACTGGAGAGTTGCTTAGCATTCAAGCTCGTCACGTTTCAGTGAGTGCGGATCACAAAACCGCGGTTATTTCGCTAGGTTGGACCAAGGGAGGCAAACGTCAGGGAGCTGCCGAAAGCTGCACAATCACCGTATGGGATGTGGTGCGGCGTCTTGAACAGTGGGTACTTTCAGTGCCCGGTGGCTCCTATATGTGCGCCTCCCCGTCTACCTGGCGAAAAACTTTTAATCAGCTCCTGGCTGATATTCGAGTGACTGAGTTTGAGTTTCGGCCGTACAGCCTGCGCAGGGGTGGTGCAACCTTTTGGTTCCAACGTCATGGCCAATTTGACAGGTTGTTGGTCCAAGGTAGGTGGCAGGCAGCGAAGACTGCCCGCATTTACCTAAACGAAGGGCTGGCAATGTTAGCCGAGATGAGGTTCTCTCAATCCCAACTGAGTGCTTGGGTTCGAGTATACCAAAACGCACTTAGAAGTGCGCTGCCGAGGCTCGAGCGAGCGTCTAGACGCAGTACAGGGGGACGTGGAAAGAGGTCGAAAAGAGGGAAAAAGGGGTGGTGGCTAGGCTGTTCTGGAGTTTCTTTTTCAAACGGCCTCGAAATGGCACCTGAGCGCCCTAGTTTCTTCCGGCTTGGCGGAAGAGCTAGGGGGGGTGCGGGGGGGGATTTCCTCTTTCTTCGGCTTGGCGGGAAAGGGAAATCCTGAGGCCCCCAGTTTGTCAAGAAACGGGCAAGGGGCCCTGGGCTAGTTAGCCACCACTAAGAGGACGTAACTTTTTATTTATGACAAAGTTGGACTTGCTGTGCGCAGAAAAAGTGCTGCTTACTCTTTGGACTCACGTAGCGGGTATAAAGAGTAAAGCACTTGTCTGCCGCAGCCACGTCAGTTTAAGGTCCCGCCCGCCCTTCCCACGAAAAGAGGGAAAAAGGGGTGGTGGCTAGGCTGTTCTGGAGTTTCTTTTTCAAACGGCCTCGAAATGGCACCTGAGCGCCCTAGTTTCTTCCGGCTTGGCGGAAGAGCTAGGGGGGGTGCGGGGGGGGATTTCCTCTTTCTTCCTGGGGTGCATTTAAGAAAGTCGTTTAATCACTGCTGATCGTGTTCATTGGGTGTTTTTTTAATGCAGCTGCTGTCTGAAGTTTGGCAGCAAGTCTGGTCCCGTCTGCATGTGATGGTAATCATCAAGCCAACGCGCGTTCATCTGCGCCCTTGCTCTAAAGAAATCTGAGTCGACAACTGTTGCTCCTGTAGCTCATGCCGCTGTTCTGTCAGCACAGCCAACCGGATAAACATGGCATTGTAAGGAAACTGCGGAAACCTTTCATTTTGGGTGTATACTGCTCAGGCAGCCCTGCCGCGCTATGTGTAGACTCTGTGTCGCATGCCAGTGGGCTGAAGCAGAGGTGTCCCTCTCCAATTGTTGAGTTTTTGAACCACTATGCCCAGTCTGAATCTAGAAGTGAAGCCAAACATTTGGCCCTGCACTCCTTAGACCATGACCTGACAGCAAGGCCCCTCGAAGACTTTCCTGATTATTTGTCGCTGATTTTTCCGACGGCTTAAAACACACACTCAAGAAAGCAGACTGTTTTAATCATCACGGAACACGTACCATCTTGGCCTCAACGCATGGTGCATTTGAGATAATCACTGTTTTAAGGGCAGGCCCCCCAGGGGCCTGCCCTTAAAACAGTCGGTAGCGCTACCGACTACTGTAAGCAACCCCCTGAGATCAACGGGGCGACTTGTTTGATTGTTTTAAGCAGTTTTGGTGGCAGTCCAAAGTGCATTTAACATAATTAGGGGGTTGCTTACAGCAGTCGGTAGCGCTACCCACTGTTTTAAGGGCAGGCCCCTGGGGGGCCTGCCCTTAAAACAGTGATTAGCTTAAATGCACCCTCCGAAAAAAGTCGGAATTAGTACTAATTTCAATTTCAGGTCATTGTGAGTTTTGATGGCTTCCCCTAGCCAATACTTTCAATGAGACAAACAATGTCCAAACCAACATAAGCGCCAGGGATGTTCATTTTGAAACAACCATGGGATTCTTCCAACTTGCATGTTGCACACTGGTGGCAGGAGAGCTAGCTTTGTGAAACATGTCTGCATCACGGCAAGCCTACGTTGGAGTGACACGAGCACGCACATCCAACTTTACCATCTTGAGTTTGCGGTAGCTCGCGGTAGCGCAGGCAAATTGGAGCTTGACTGCGTGCATGTCTGCGCACAACGTTGTGTCATTGTTGGTCCAGCGCAGCCAAATGCAGCCAACTTGGAAGGTTCAGACACAACAAGTAGAACAGGGGATCCAGCCAAGACGATCAAGAAGCGCAATGAAGCCTGCACGTTGAGCATCTGAAAAGTGCAATTCGATGATCCTTTCCGAGCTTAAAGCTGTCATGATTATGAGCTCAATACGATCCAGCAAACACCACCGTGTGAATATTTGACATCTTTAAACGCACCTCAGCTTCGGCTTGGCGGGAAAGGGAAATCCTGAGGCCCCCAGTTTGTCAAGAAACGGGCAAGGGGCCCTGGGCTAGTTAGCCACCACTAAGAGGACGTAACTTTTTATTTATGACAAAGTTGGACTTGCTGTGCGCAGAAAAAGTGCTGCTTACTCTTTATATATATATATATATTATACAAATATATATTATCTATATAATTATTTATTTATTTATTTATTCATATTTAGTTACATACAGGGATATAGCTATGCTCAGGGTCACTTTGTGTCATTCTGCTTGACTTGGCTCTTTTGTCCTAAGTCTTCGTGCTTTCGCGTCCTCTGTGCACATCCATTGAAACTCCAGACGATTCCCGTCTCGGCCACTTAATTGACACTTGCAGACGCTGAGTCGTCCGAGGTTTGCAACCTTTTAGCATGCGGAAAACAATTGGATGCTGGGGGTGTCGACCAATGCAGTCTACGGGCCAGAGTCTCAGAGGAACATCTATTGTTGGAATGCGGAGAACCGCTTTGTTTGTCATTATTAAACCAATAGTGATGCTGGGGTGTTGACGATTTGGTCAACGGACCAGGGCGACATATACTTTTAGAATGCGGATTGGTTTTCTTCAATAATCGCTGGTGAGGCTGGCGGTGTGGACCACTTTCGTCTACATAAAACGGCTTTCAGAAAGCGAGACATCCTTTTCTTTACATGTCGTAAAAGAAATCACGAGTTTTTGAAGGTCGACCCGCCCAAAGGCTGCAGAGGGTTCACCTATTCACTGCGACCGTCCAGCTTTTTTCGTAGTTGTTCCTTTTCACGCGCAGTGTATTTAGTTTTAAAGATCATCAGCACGTGCATGCATTCTTGGCATGAGCTAGCTCAATTAGTTCCGTTACTGCAGAAGTTCCTTTTAAAACATCCTTTGATCAAGCGACCGTGAACGTTTGCTGCTTATATGCATATTGCATAGTACATATATATATATGTATATTATACACATGGTTATTTATTTATTGGCCTAGTAATTCACGCTGGCGCGTCACATCTTTCTTTTTTTCATATGTTAATCTTCCCACATGGGTTGCGCTTGCCCCTCAGTGTTTGTAATTGATTGGTACTGTAGTGCTTCTACCGTGCAGGCCGGAGCAGCGGCGCGCTCTATGGGAACGCATGCCAGCATCGCAGATGCCAGAGTCACAGAACCCAGAATCACAGATGTCAGCGTCGCAACTGCCCTGGTCGCAGATGCCATCAGTGCAGGCGCCAGCGCTTGAGATGCGAGCATTGCAGATGCCATCATCATCGCAAATGCCAGCGTCACAGATGCCAGAATCACAGCTACCAGCGGTGCAGATGCCAGCATTCCAGATGCTAGACTGTCGCATGCCAACGCTGCGGATGCCAACGTTGCGGATGCCAGTGTTGCCAGCATCACAGACGCAAGAATCGCAGATGCCAGCATCACAGAAACCAGCAGCACAGTTGCCAGCATCCCAAATGCCAGCAGGGCAGGCGCCAGCATTTGAGATGCGAGCATTGCAGATGCCAGCATCACAAATGCCAGCATCGCAGATGCCAGCGTCACAGATGCCACAACTGCAGATGCCAGCAAATCAGGCGCCAGCGTCGCATATGCCAGCCATGGGGCAACGGGCGATGGGGTAAGGCTCTCCATTGTTCAAGTCTGGAGCCTAGGATGAAGCCTTCGTTGCCCTGATTTTCGAGTGGGTGTTGCTGCCCAGCGTGAGGGTATGAATTTCCACTGGCTGCCGCAACTGCCAACACGGTTTTCACGTGGCGGCAGTGATTCGGATTACAACCATGTGCAGTTGCTGTTTCCAAACCACTGCAGCATCAATGGTTGATGCTCAGGCAAGCGTTTGCAGCAGCGCTGTTGCAATTGCAGATGGGCTTCTGTTGGCCTTGGCGCCATTCGACATGAGAACCATGAATGACAGGGCACTAGCCACAGGAGCTCCTTTAGGGCGGCAATTGATGCCATGGACAGACCATAGCAGACTACTTGGGGGCAGGCGGCAGGAGATTCAGAGTTGTGCGCTATGGACCTGGTATGTCCAAGGTTTGCTTATGTTCACCCTCCAACAAGGTTGAGATGTTGCAGAATATGCTGCTATATAGTGTTCGGTGCAGCCAACACGCAGAGCCAGGCGGAGAACCACCAGCCCGGGCTGACATTTGTGGGAGAGGCTCTACCACTCAAAGCACCCAGTCGCGCAAGGACGAGACAATTGTGTTGTTGTTGTCCTGTTTGTTGGATTGTGTCGTCCCCGTTTGTCATGCACGTGCTGGAATCCGAATTGGACCCCCAACAATGTGCACTTGGGTTGATTTCAGGCACTGCCAAGCTCATCACTTGCAATGACATCGGCCGCAATACAGCTTGGAATTTGTATGATTGCTTGATTTCTCAAGATGAACAGAAGCTAGAAAAGCACCGGCGCCACATCCTCGAGTCTTGTTCAAAGACCTACGCGGATTCGAGGTGGATTAGGGGCTTGCCTCGTGAATTTCTGACAAGGAATTTGTCTTTGGCAGCTCATTCGATTGTCAGCTCACATGCTTCCCCGACACATGTGCTTCACTTAGAGAATTGAAGCTGACACAGGACCTACCAGCGTCTGCGACCCCACATGCGCGTCTGCCCTCCGAAGAGCCTCACCATCCCCAAGAGCCTTTTGCCCGGCACGGGCGCCTCCGCTGCTGTCACATACGTGCCGGTGCAGGACCCTGTGGAGGGACTCTCCTACATGATGTGTCCCGGCATTGCCCCATCCACCCCCCCCACCAGTTGGATAGAAGGGACCTTGAAGGAAGCTGCGGTAGCATAGGGATACAGTATACTCTGTTGGTTGGCCCGTCGCCTCGGCTGCACGAGCCAGGCACTTGCGATTCACCACATGTGTGAATCCGTTCAACTAAGTCAGAGCACTACACAGCTCTTGGCAAGGTGCCAGTTCAGGCCAACAGCGTCCCCTGGCCATGACCACATCAACGGTAACCTCGATTTCTTGGATTTTGTTTGCACGGTTTCCCCTTGCAGACCTAGTGGGTTTGTGTCATTAGCAGCTTGCCCAACCTCCTTAAGTTCGTAAGCTTTCCAGAACAACACGATGCGGATAGAACCCCACACGGCCTCGTGTCACACGAAGATGTGATAGATGATGGAATCCAACTCAGAGAGAGAGACCGAGGGAGGGAGGGAGGGAGGGAGGGAGGGAGGGAGGGGGAGGGAGGGAGCCCAGGTGCAGCTTTTGCAAGGGCGACCGCATCTTCCGAGTTCTGCAGAACTTCCTCCGCCACATGGAGAGCGGAGAATGTCGCTCGCGACAAAATGGCCCCAACATGCCCCAATGCAGCCCCCTCTGAATCATACCGGTTGGTGTTTTCCAGGAGAGCCACATAGAGAACAGCCCGGAGTCACAAAGTTACGCTTTCCACCGGCATACTATCCTCCACACGCGTACGGCAGAGAAGGTTGCTGTTTGGAAGACGCCTCAGGGGACGTATGGGATTATGGCGAGCTTACTTTTTGGACCCTGCTGGCGGACAAGAAGTTGACATGTTGTTGTTTAGTAGGCAAATCATGGTGGGGTTTCGCTCTTGGCAATCGACTAGTTGTCCCCAATCAAATGCACAAACCATTCAAGCTCCTGGTTGAGTTCACCAAGCCGGACAGATCCTGCAATGCCGCCATGACCCTTGGGCACATCCTTTCAATCTGTCGGCTGGCTTTGTTCCAGCAGCCTTTGTTTGACCAATAGCTTTGCCTGGCTCCGGCAGAGAGCCACTTATTGTTGATTGTGACGGAGCATTGGCGGTGTCATGATGTTCAGGTCTGCCCGCATGCCGTGCCGTGCCTTTCTGGACATATGTTGACTTACCAAATCTTATCAAATAGACTGCATGCGGATACAAGCACCAGCCACAGTGGGAATGGCCTCTCATTTTGACATTCCCATTCGAGTTCGCGGGTCGCCGCCGAAGGCCCTGTGGGACAACAGCAGCTTCTGAAGATCCGGGAGACGCGGACGGTAGCTGGACCGGCTACGCCAGCTGCACCAGCTGCACCAGCTGCACAAGCTGCACCAGCGCCAGAGGTTGTGCCGCTTGGCCGAGTGCTGGCCGCGCAACAGCGCGTGGGGGCTCTCTTGATAAGCCAGGGATGTCAAAAGTAGACTGCGGCCCCGAACCTGATGCGATGTCATTAAATATGCCTTCAAAGGGGCTTCCAGATCAGGATCCCCACCACTTTACCGGCGTTCATGTGTTAGACCTTGGTGGGGTTGCCAACTTGGGGCTTGGTGAGGCTGATGCTTCTTTTGGGTGTCAGTGGACATTCCTTCTGCTTGCAGGAGTACGGTGTACGATTCAGCATATCAACCCGATTGGAAAACATGTGCTAGCTTTGCGAGCTTCGGGATAGATACAAGATGTGGGTGCTGATGCAAGTTGCCATTCCTGATCAGCTATGCCAATTTTGCCAGTGCCCTGAAGGCCGCAACCGCCAGCTGCATTTGGCGCGGTACCAAGTCCAGACTCTGTGCCAGAGTCGACTGCAGAGAAGCTTGGCTTTGCAAATGCTCAGCCCTTGATGCAAGGGAAAACACATTTTATTGCAGCGCAGGCGGAAGAATCACGTGGCTTGTGGCAGGCAACAGGTTACCCCAGGTTCAAGAGCATGACCTGGCTCCAGCCTACCATTTTGTGGATCTTATGACGCTGTAGTGGTCATGTTTCCTTAGTTAGCCTTAGTTTGCGTTGTGGAGCTGCGAGGTAGCCCATACACTGCCGCAAGTTTGCGAATTCGGAGGAATGCGTCGCCACTGATGCAAGAGGCCACATGGTTGCTTCTACCTCCCTGTCATGAACAATATAGAAGTATGCTGATGTGTTGTGTGTACACTTTACTCATGTGTCAGGGTTCTATTTGTTCTTGCATTACTCAGCTTCATAAGTAAACATGACGCAAGAATTCAAATGCGGGGACGGTTCAAGTTTCTGCCAGCATCAACCAAAGCGCGGTGCAATGACTGCACCACACCATTGGATCCCTCCCGGCCCGGCCCGGGCACACCCGAGGCCTGGGTGTTTCGGCCCACGCCGTGCCTTGCTCTCAGAGCTGCGGTTGCTGGCGCCGCGGCGCTACGCAGAGCTGGCCCTGAGCCTTCCCGGGCTCCTGCAGCGAAGCCTTCAGGCACGCGCACGCATCCGGAGCGTTCGCGCATTGTGGGCACGGTTGGTGTTTCGCAATGCCTAATTATTTGTGTGTTCCAAAGCCGGAAGTCTTGTCAGATTTGGCGCAAAACTTGGATCACTCTACTAACTTTTATGCAGGGTAGCGGTGGTGGTGATGGTGAAGGCGGTGGTGCCGGTGGTGGTGGTGATCATGATGATGAAGATGATGACGATGATGATGACCATGGTGATGGTGATGGGAATAGTGGTGGCGATGGGAATGGTGATGCTGATGGTGATGGTGATGGTGGTGGTGATGATGCTGGCGATGATGATGATGATGATGATGATGATGATGATGATGATGATGATGATGACGATGATGATGACGATGATGATGACGATGATGATGATGATGATGATGATGATGAGCTGATAATGACGATGTTGATGGTGATGATGGGCCACAGGGATATGAGTGTTTCTGGGTGTGTTGCTTGTTGGTAAGAGTGTATTTAGCTTCAACACATGGCCGCCAGTTGTTGCATGATTTGGTGCGAGGATCTCGCACCGCTGGTGCAGCAGGCGAGCATAGAGCCGGAGATGGAAACGAGCAAGAAGGTGCAGCTTGGCCGTTTGGAGCTTCCAAGGGGTCAAGACAAACTGGGGTCTCTTGGGATAGGACCAGCAAAATGGTCGGTTTCTTTATGGTTTCATGTTGCGAAAACACAAGATAAGAGAACTGGACAGAGGTAAGCCCGTTTTTGCGAGTCCTGTTGAACGGCCGCACGGCCGGGTGTCTACGGATGTGACACTCGTCAAAGAAAAGTTTTAAGTGCGGGGATGATAGATATCCGAGAGGTTTCCGCAATGTCCCTCCCTGATCTCTAGGAAGTGAACACCACTTCAGTCAGGCGGCGTTTGATGTCAGCATATCAGTTGACGCCCACGTTTTTGGCGCACACAGATTCTTGTTGAACCTGAAAGATACGCATTTGCAGGCCAACTGTTTAAAAGGAGACCATACTGAACGCTTTTTGTCAAGTGTGAGCATGAACTCCTTGTGCGGTGGCCCATGGCCCCACTACCCATCCACATCCAGCCACTGTTCGCGGTTTGTGAGGCCAACTTTTATATTTTTTGGGCGGGGGCGCTTGCGGCCCTGCCTTGACGCTCCAGGCTGCGCGCCTCTCGCATGCACATGTTACCTGTCATGGTGCTAAGGATCGAGCGACCTGTGGTAAACCGACATCCAGTGGAGGCCTTGATGGAGAGGCGTGGCTGGACACCTGAAGAAACCAGCCATCCGGATGCCCTGATTTCATGCAATTTCATTCACTTTTGTTCGCAAACGTAGTGACTGATACTGATAGAGATAGAGACAACTTGCAAGCAATACCACTCAGAGGGCTCGTTCTTTGCAAAGAAAACCCAGAGCAGAGATCCGATTCAATGAAATGGTTACACCAAATACGGCTGACTCCTCCTTCGGACTCGGGTTCAGTCATCACAGCCGTGAGCGTTCATCCATGTTATTTGCAATTTGTATGCCATTGGCCTGGGCTAACTTGGCCGCCGCATGATCCCGCAAGTCAAGCTACGTCACTGTGCCTAGCTGGTTGTCCGCAGGTTGAGAGGAGATGGCTTCGAGCTCGATGCCCCCTTCAGCTTTGAGGACTGCCGGAGTGAGTGCCCTGCCTGTTCGGAGGGTTTGCCTTTGGCTGCCCGGCGAGTTGAAATCGAAATTGGATTGTGAAGAGATGTCCCAAGGTTTTGCCCCGAGAGAGGGGGCAGCAAACAAATGGGATGAGTGGAAGTGGTTCCGGTTCGTTCCGGTTTGACTTGGCAGCTCGCTTCAGTTTGCAGCCTGCCAGGGACTGGAACAGCCTCAGCCTGTGGATATGCTATTCGTAGTGTTCGGGCGCAGTCTCCCCAGCCAGCTGGCTGAGGTTCTTGATCCGTGAAGCCAAGCTTCTCACGTCATCAAGATCCAGGACCTGACCCGTGCCCCAAAAGGCAATGATGCAATGTGGGTGTGCCTTTTGAGACGTACCGCTGCTAGAGAGACTGGGAAGAAGAGTTGTTGCACTCGTGGGCATGACATGTGTTCCATGATGGCCCTGCATCCAGTTCCCGATGCTGGCACTAAGGGAGGCCCCTTCAAAGTGACACAGTAGTCATGCGAATGCGATATCGCAGAAGGGGTGATTGTGCACAGCTACGGTGGGCTTTTTGAAGAAGCTTGTTAGTTGGTTCCCTGTCGGGGCGTGTTTCTGCTCTAGGACTTCGATCTTTCGATTGTTGTGCGTTCCCTTGCGGTCTGCTTGCCACCAAGTAGGTTCTCAGTAGGTTTTGCAGTGGGCGCAGGGAAACGGGAGGGCAAAGGCGAAGGAATCCGGCAACAACCACCTGCTGCTGCAGGAAATGTGAGGACAAGCCACCCTCACCAAAGCGACAGCGGCAAGATCTCATGCAGATTGTGGCCATCGACTGACTGTACCCAGCTTCGCCTGGTGGATCAGCCTCTCTTTTGGCTTGAGACTGAAGTGCTTGAGCAGTGGAGCACATGCCAGCCAAGTTTGTTCAAAGCATTGGGTTCTCGCACTGTCTTGTTCATGCTCCAAGTTCTTCGAGGTCAGGTTGCCGCTTCAAACCATGAAGCCTTTCCTGAGTCAATGAAAGTGCTACCCTGCCCTGCACACGGGGCTATTGCAAGCCCACAGCTGGAATCATGCAGGCTACAAGGCTTGGCCTGTCCAAGTCCAGCTGTCCGTGAATTTATGACAGTTGCCGGTACTGTGCCGGAGGCATTTAGAATTTGCGCAGCTAGGGACTCGCGGCTCGCGCTTCAAGGAATTCGCTGGATTCAATCCAAGCTCGCGCTTGCAAGCGTGGTGGGATCTATCGGGGCTCGGAGAATGACCGATCCTTTCACGGTCACTCTCCTTTCTCAGATTCTGGACAAGGCCGCAGCAAGGGAGTCGAATGCATTCGAAATGGCCAGCTGCGGCCTTGTTGAGGGGAAAGCCCTCCTTGTGCTCCAGGCAATCAGGGAGAAAGCAGCTTAGCTCTCGCTTCAGGTGGTAGGGCTATCTGAATCTCACACGTGTCGGTCGACTTTCTCTCTTCAAACTTGCTAGCTCGGGCCCCCTAACAAACAAAAAAGAGAACTGTGGACAACGATGAGCCAATTTGCAGCCATTGCACGATGAAGGAACGGGACCATCTCCGGGGTGGGCGGCGGTTACCTGAAATGGCTTCTGGATGGCAAGTCATCAACCAATCCTGATTGTGAGGTAATATACGAGCCTTACTTCGACCTGGGACATGGTATAATTAACATGATTTCAATTCAGCTCAAGGATCCATTGTTGTTTTCGCCTGTCAAGAGCCAGTTTTTCGGCCGGGCTCGGACTTTGAGGGAATCCAGGTGTTGCTGTAGAGTCATCCTTCCAGTGGGCGGCATGGGCCACACGATCGCAGCTTTCCAGCGGCTGGGCTCAAGACGAGCCTCGCCACGCCGCGGGCCGTGAGGCAACAGGAGTTCCTTTGCAGGACGTGGGAGACTTGGGCCGTGGGGACGTACTGGTGGTGTAAGTTGTTTCATTTGTACGTTGGCGTGCCAGCATGGAAGCCACGCACGAAGTGAAAACTACAAGCAAAGACTAGTCGCTTTCTTTGTTTATGATGTTCAGTTGCCCCAGTTCATCCTAGCTTGAGATCCGCCCACCATGGTTCATCCTTGCTGCCTGGGAGTCACGTTTGACACAAAACATGCGTTGATTCATCGCCGAAGGAGGGACGCGAGGAGGGGACATGCTTTCACCATCTCTAACAGCTGCCTCTATCTTGGGCAATCAATTGTGAGGACACGCAGATATAACCAGGGCTGTGCACATGGTGACCCCTTATTTTGGCCCTTTTCAAGGGTCCGCAAACAGTACCGATGGCCCCCTGGTGAGTCTTGTCGCATCAATGGCAGCATGCCGATTCCGGCAGGTTCTGCGTTGGTTATGCGAATTGAGGTGCAAGCACTGTGCTGGTCACAACTGGAGCCTAAAGTCTCGGCCGGCTCATTTGGCATTCACGATGTGCCCCCGCCCCAACGAAACAACCAGATCCCATCATATACATATATATATATATATAATACACATTTGTATGTGACCCACGGCCTGCCTGCATGGGGCTCCTTAGTTGTCATTGCTTTCATATGGCGGCTACGCTGCAGGACCTGCCGCGCATGGGGCACCGATGGGTAGCCTGGGGCGCGGCCCAGAGTATACGGAACTCAGGCAAGCGGCTGGAAGTTAGGGCGACGCAATGCTTGCAGAAAGTCGTAAAAGATGAAGTTGACCAGACAGTACATCACTTCGGATTTGGCTCGTTCGGCAGTGTTTGTCTTGTCTTGCGTCAAGGTCCTTCGCGACCCTATCGCGTTATCGCCGTTATCGCTTCTCACACCAACTTCCCTTCCGCTGGCTACTCAGGAACCCCCACCCTCTCACTTTTGGGCCAGAGGACCCACAGCTTGCTTCTCACTCTCGACATCAACTCGAATTTGAAGGGTTCAATCGGTGAAACCTGTGAGGCCGAGGAGGATCCATGACTTGGTGAAGATCCTCAACGAGAATGCAATCGACCTCGGTCAAACCGTTGCACCCAGGCGGAGACGGGTGCGCTTCGCTCAGTCCAGGGAGGGAGTCGCGCGTGCTGACCTGAGTGAAACGTGTGATCACTTAACTGAAGCCCACAACAAGTTCGGCCAGTTTGGAATAAGGTCTAGCCTTGACGCCACAATCCAGCACCCTCCGACTACTGCCCAAAAACGGCAGTAGATAGAAATTTCCCAAAAAAGACCGTAGTTGGACCACGCGCCATAGACGGCCGTGGGTTTTCGTTGGTTTTTCAGCCGGCGGGGGGGGTGGGGGGTGGGGTTGGGGGGGGGGTTGATCTCGGACTCGTCCACAGCGTTCATGCTTGTCTTCAGTTTTGGTTCAAATGTACCTTTCCGAGGACGCTCGTCTCGCCTTAGGTCTCGTCCTGATTTTGCGCTGTGCTGGCTCATCCCCTCTTTTCCGCTGCCACCGAATCCTGGATCCTTTTTTTGCTGTGTGCCCTGAATACCTGGACTCTCTCTTTGACGTAGTGACGCAGACCCGTGTTTGTCGCTCGTGGCAGAGATAGTGTTGCTGCCTCATCGGTTCCCACTAGCCTTTGACTCTCTTGGCCTTTGCTTGCCTGTGCTTTGGTCTGCGTATCGCCTCGTCCTGAGGCGTTCTGCGTGTTTTCCGCCCTCTCGCTTAGTCTCGCTGGCGTCCTGCCTCCACGTTGTCTCGAACCGTCTGCTTGGTGCCCGGCTGCTAGCCGTTCTCCCCGCGCGTGGCACGGCCATGGCCGCTCAACCTCCTTCAGTTCGCTCCGCCGGGCGGTCCCGGACTCCGCCGCCAGCACGTTCTCGGGAGCCTCGCCTGCCGTGGGTACTTGTTTTTTTTTTTTGCTGACGGGCTCTGCGCTCTCACTATTTGGGGTGTCCTGGTCCTGGTCGTGCGCTTGAGGTTTGCGACAGCCTCGGCAGCCCCACACCTCGGCGGCTGCGAAGCTATCTGAGCAGCTTAGAGGACGGAGACGCAGCTGCCCTCTCTCCGGCTCGGTCTGCAGACTCTCCTTACACTGTGGGGCTCAAGGGCGCCTTGCCTTCACGGTGCCTCTAGTGCTTTGCGCATGTTGGCCAAGGGGGTTTTCAGAGGCTGACATGAGCTTCTTTGTTTTCCGCCGAGGCTTTGTTCGACGCCAGCAGCAGGCTGCATGGCGGCTTCGCTTGAGACCGGCTAGTCCGATTTCTGTGGCTTCGAGTGCGGAGCACAGCTACGCTGAGATCAGCACGCTTTGGGGATTTGTTGGCCTTTTTACCATTCCTGACGCTTTGACGTGACTGGAGCCCCAGAATGTTTTTCAGGGTTGGGCTGGATTGCCTTTTGGACGCAATCATATGTCTGTTTCAGGAGCGATCAGACCATGCCACCTCATTTGTTTTGTGGCCGCATTTGGTTGCCATATGCTGGGGATTCCTTGGGGCAGTCAGCTGCTAGCAGGAGTTTGACTTCTTTGACACAGGACGAAGGATTGTTCAAAGTTGAGTCTATTTTGGGTTTGTTTCAGCATTCAGGGCTGCGTCGGGGGTGTCAGTGGACAACCAGGATGATGTGATGGAGTACTCACCAAGCACGAGCAAGTCACCTGTTCATTCCCCTGTGAGCGGCTTGGATGGCTTCTTGCTCAGATGAGCATTCGCGTGCAGCGTCCCAGCACGATCCAGCGATACCTGCGGACCGCGAGGGAGGCGTCGACGACGCCTACTCGGAAGATCTCTGGCTGAAGACAAGTCGTCCGTTGTTCGGGGTGCCATTTCTGTTTTTTTTGATTTGCCAGTTTTGCAAACACAAGGTCCGAGCAAACCTGCAGCAACATAATTTTGGGCATATCAAGGATGATGTTGTCGAGCGGTGTCTGCAGCGGGACATGGAAGCTTGGCGGCTGCAGTGCTTGGAGGACGAAGATTCTCTGGAAGCTGCTGCTGACGCTCATGGCGGAAGGTTTCGCTGGCAAAGCTTGCAGGAGGCAGCGTCAGCTAGGGCCACCGTCAGGGCGCGATCTAGTAAATATGGTCTTTGTCCGCGACACAATGTTGCGCGCAAGCCTTGGATCTTTGGGTCGGGAAAGCGGGCAGGCCACCCTGTCAAGATTTGTGGCCTCTGGTTTTCAGAAAGATGAAGCCACGGGCGCGCGTTTGTGCTGGCATTCCGAACGAGCATGTCAAGAGGAGATCCAGGCCTGGCCCAAGTATTGGCGGGAGCTCCACGCCAGTCTTTGGGCCCGCATACAGCGAGGCGGTCGAGACTAGACTTTTGCGTTCGGCACTAGGAAAACACAGGGTCGTGTTGCTCATTATTTGTCTTGCCCTTTACTTATTTTGTGCTCCCCATTTTGGAGATAGAACTGGTGCCCATTGGTGCAAGACTGTTATTTGTTTGGCCCTTTCTTCAGCGATTCTAGTTTGAGGAAAAAAGAGAGTGGACACCGGAACGACGAGGTCGTTTTCTTCACCTTACTTGAATGGTCCCCAATTTGGGAGTAAAGCTTGTGCCCGCCGGACAAAATTTGTTATTTGTTTGGCCCCTTCTTCAAAGGTCCCAATTTGCGGGAAGCATCCTCACATCCGCTGGATTCTGGAACGACAAGGTCGTTTGTCTTGACCTTATTTGAAAGGTCCTCATTTTGGGAGTAAAGCTTGTGCCCGCCGGACAACATGTGTTATTTGTTTGGCCCCTTCTTCAAAGGTCCCACTTTGGGGAAACATCCTGTGGACACCGGATCGACGAGGTTGGTGGTCTCGCCTTCCTTTCAGGGTTCCAATTTTCGGAATGTTGCTTGTCGAGGGAGGGGAGGCAGTGAGACGTTTTCCCGCAGGGCATTCTTGACTGACATCGCCAGTGCGTCTTGGACTTGATTTCGCAATGCTAGCTCAAAGCAACTCTGGGGTCCATGAATGTTGCCGACGAGATAGTTTTGCACCTGGCAGCCAGCCTGCAGGCTGCTGTGCAATCTGATGTCGTCCAGCCCACTGCCCGACGGCGTTAGCCTGCTGGCGCTCTCGAGGACGCTGACCACAGTGTGGCATTCAGCAGACCCAGATGCCTTTCTGGCACTGCGGTTGACTGCGGACACCTTTGCCACCATCTGCGAGTCAAGTGAAGCCGGATTGCTGCGCGCACATGTGCCCTTACACTTACATAGGCCGCAGCCGGCGCACAAGTCTTGGCGAGCGCAAGTTCTGAGCGTGCTTGGGCCCTCTTGGCGCAGTGCGCTGCTGTGCCTGGAGCAAAAGCTTCAAACTGCACTCGTGGACCTTGCTGAGTACCAGGACGTTCTGAGCCTCACGCCGCAGTTGAGCGAACTTTGGGAGGCTTACATGGCCATCATCGATGACCATCTACTGTTGGCGCAAGGCTTGCTCAACGAGCCGGCTGCTTCAGGATCCGCCCGGCCGACTTGATTTGGGACCGCAGTGAGGGAAAATTATGAGAGCGCTCTAGAGAATTCCCTTGTTTAGCCACAGTGTTGCTGTCGCTGTCAGTGCACTAAACGTTCCTGCTTGGCTTGCCGTCCTTAGTTTTGGGTGGGAGGTTGCGACAAGTGCAAAGCAGCTGGCCAGCCATGAAGCGCCCAGCGGCCTTGGTCCGCCGGCAGAACAAGCAAGGACCGCGTGCCTGTGACGCTTGTGGCTCAACGGCCCACAGGATCGAGACATGCAAGACCAAAGCCGCGGCGGAAATCAGGAAGCTCCGCGCACAGGTGCGGAAGCTGACTGAGGGCAGGCCAAAGAATGCGGTGCTGCGAAAGGAGCGCAAGACGCGCAAGAGCCCCAAGGTCAGCCAGTCGCTCGCCAGCCGAGAAGAGGCGCTTGCTGTCGTCCGTGATGGATACGGAGCCCTGCGATGACCAATCCTCTGCCACCTGGTTGATTGAGCCTTGGAACTGACATGTTCCGAGCATTTTAACAAAGAGTGGCTCTGCTTTTGCTTACCACAGGGTCGCATGTGCTGGCAATCGGCTGTCCCTCTGATGGCCTCCAGAAAAAGTAGCTGCGTGTTGCCGAGTGGTTCCTTCCATTTGCTGCCATGGGGTCCCAACAGATTGGTTTTCCATGCTAGTGATAAGGGTGTAGTTTTTTTGCCAACATAGTCAACGGGCAGAAAAGGGCTCCATGCTTCTTGAGCATCCAAGGAACATGGGTGGGTCCCAGAACCGGATCACTGCCAGGAGTGTGGAAGCCACAGCCTCTCCAACCTGCTGTGGCCAGGCTATCGGCCCGCACACTGGCGCTGCTTGAAATGCGGTGTCAGGCTGGGCCTCTTCGCGCTGTCCATCTTTGCAGGCCTGCGATGCGGAGCAGCTGCGCTGCACCGATTGCTGCTGAAATATGTTGCGCTGCACATGAGCAAAAGCCCGAAGATCAACGACTTGATCCAGACTGCCCGGCTGGGGCATGCGGTCGTCAGGCACTTTGTGGCGGCCATGCGCGCCCTGGAGTCTGCTGCCGGCAAGCAGATGTGCCAGTCGGCTCGCCTGAAAGGGTCAGTGGAGGGAGATGGCACTTTCATTACGTGCTTTCACATTTCACGGCAGAATCCTCACTACGCGGACCTTGCTGAGTACCAGGACGTTCTGAGCCTCACGCCGCAGTTGAGCGAACTTTGGGAGGCTTACATGGCCATCATCGATGACCATCTACTGTTGGCGCAAGGCTTGCTCAACGAGCCGGCTGCTTCAGGATCCGCCCGGCCGACTTGATTTGGGACCGCAGTGAGGGAAAATTATGAGAGCGCTCTAGAGAATTCCCTTGTTTAGCCACAGTGTTGCTGTCGCTGTCAGTGCACTAAACGTTCCTGCTTGGCTTGCCGTCCTTAGTTTTGGGTGGGAGGTTGCGACAAGTGCAAAGCAGCTGGCCAGCCATGAAGCGCCCAGCGGCCTTGGTCCGCCGGCAGAACAAGCAAGGACCGCGTGCCTGTGACGCTTGTGGCTCAACGGCCCACAGGATCGAGACATGCAAGACCAAAGCCGCGGCGGAAATCAGGAAGCTCCGCGCACAGGTGCGGAAGCTGACTGAGGGCAGGCCAAAGAATGCGGTGCTGCGAAAGGAGCGCAAGACGCGCAAGAGCCCCAAGGTCAGCCAGTCGCTCGCCAGCCGAGAAGAGGCGCTTGCTGTCGTCCGTGATGGATACGGAGCCCTGCGATGACCAATCCTCTGCCACCTGGTTGATTGAGCCTTGGAACTGACATGTTCCGAGCATTTTAACAAAGAGTGGCTCTGCTTCTGCTTACCACAGGGTCGCATGTGCTGGCAATCGGCTGTCCCTCTGATGGCCTCCAGAAAAAGTAGCTGCGTGTTGCCGAGTGGTTCCTTCCATTTGCTGCCATGGGGTCCCAACAGATTGGTTTTCCATGCTAGTGATAAGGGTGTAGTTTTTTTGCCAACATAGTCAACGGGCAGAAAAGGGCTCCATGCTTCTTGAGCATCCAAGGAACATGGGTGGGTCCCAGAACCGGATCACTGCCAGGAGTGTGGAAGCCACAGCCTCTCCAACCTGCTGTGGCCAGGCTATCGGCCCTCGTGGACCTTTGTGGCCTCTGGTTTTCAGAAAGATGAAGCCACGGGCGCGCGTTTGTGCTGGCATTCCGAACGAGCATGTCAAGAGGAGATCCAGGCCTGGCCCAAGTATTGGCGGGAGCTCCACGCCAGTCTTTGGGCCCGCATACAGCGAGGCGGTCGAGACTAGACTTTTGCGTTCGGCACTAGGAAAACACAGGGTCGTGTTGCTCATTATTTGTCTTGCCCTTTACTTATTTTGTGCTCCCCATTTTGGAGATAGAACTGGTGCCCATTGGTGCAAGACTGTTATTTGTTTGGCCCTTTCTTCAGCGATTCTAGTTTGAGGAAAAAAGAGAGTGGACACCGGAACGACGAGGTCGTTTTCTTCACCTTACTTGAATGGTCCCCAATTTGGGAGTAAAGCTTGTGCCCGCCGGACAAAATTTGTTATTTGTTTGGCCCCTTCTTCAAAGGTCCCAATTTGCGGGAAGCATCCTCACATCCGCTGGATTCTGGAACGACAAGGTCGTTTGTCTTGACCTTATTTGAAAGGTCCTCATTTTGGGAGTAAAGCTTGTGCCCGCCGGACAACATGTGTTATTTGTTTGGCCCCTTCTTCAAAGGTCCCACTTTGGGGAAACATCCTGTGGACACCGGATCGACGAGGTTGGTGGTCTCGCCTTCCTTTCAGGGTTCCAATTTTCGGAATGTTGCTTGTCGAGGGAGGGGAGGCAGTGAGACGTTTTCCCGCAGGGCATTCTTGACTGACATCGCCAGTGCGTCTTGGACTTGATTTCGCAATGCTAGCTCAAAGCAACTCTGGGGTCCATGAATGTTGCCGACGAGATAGTTTTGCACCTGGCAGCCAGCCTGCAGGCTGCTGTGCAATCTGATGTCGTCCAGCCCACTGCCCGACGGCGTTAGCCTGCTGGCGCTCTCGAGGACGCTGACCACAGTGTGGCATTCAGCAGACCCAGATGCCTTTCTGGCACTGCGGTTGACTGCGGACACCTTTGCCACCATCTGCGAGTCAAGTGAAGCCGGATTGCTGCGCGCACATGTGCCCTTACACTTACATAGGCCGCAGCCGGCGCACAAGTCTTGGCGAGCGCAAGTTCTGAGCGTGCTTGGGCCCTCTTGGCGCAGTGCGCTGCTGTGCCTGGAGCAAAAGCTTCAAACTGCACTCGTGGACCTTGCTGAGTACCAGGACGTTCTGAGCCTCACGCCGCAGTTGAGCGAACTTTGGGAGGCTTACATGGCCATCATCGATGACCATCTACTGTTGGCGCAAGGCTTGCTCAACGAGCCGGCTGCTTCAGGATCCGCCCGGCCGACTTGATTTGGGACCGCAGTGAGGGAAAATTATGAGAGCGCTCTAGAGAATTCCCTTGTTTAGCCACAGTGTTGCTGTCGCTGTCAGTGCACTAAACGTTCCTGCTTGGCTTGCCGTCCTTAGTTTTGGGTGGGAGGTTGCGACAAGTGCAAAGCAGCTGGCCAGCCATGAAGCGCCCAGCGGCCTTGGTCCGCCGGCAGAACAAGCAAGGACCGCGTGCCTGTGACGCTTGTGGCTCAACGGCCCACAGGATCGAGACATGCAAGACCAAAGCCGCGGCGGAAATCAGGAAGCTCCGCGCACAGGTGCGGAAGCTGACTGAGGGCAGGCCAAAGAATGCGGTGCTGCGAAAGGAGCGCAAGACGCGCAAGAGCCCCAAGGTCAGCCAGTCGCTCGCCAGCCGAGAAGAGGCGCTTGCTGTCGTCCGTGATGGATACGGAGCCCTGCGATGACCAATCCTCTGCCACCTGGTTGATTGAGCCTTGGAACTGACATGTTCCGAGCATTTTAACAAAGAGTGGCTCTGCTTCTGCTTACCACAGGGTCGCATGTGCTGGCAATCGGCTGTCCCTCTGATGGCCTCCAGAAAAAGTAGCTGCGTGTTGCCGAGTGGTTCCTTCCATTTGCTGCCATGGGGTCCCAACAGATTGGTTTTCCATGCTAGTGATAAGGGTGTAGTTTTTTTGCCAACATAGTCAACGGGCAGAAAAGGGCTCCATGCTTCTTGAGCATCCAAGGAACATGGGTGGGTCCCAGAACCGGATCACTGCCAGGAGTGTGGAAGCCACAGCCTCTCCAACCTGCTGTGGCCAGGCTATCGGCCCGCACACTGGCGCTGCTTGAAATGCGGTGTCAGGCTGGGCCTCTTCGCGCTGTCCATCTTTGCAGGCCTGCGATGCGGAGCAGCTGCGCTGCACCGATTGCTGCTGAAATATGTTGCGCTGGACATGAGCAAAAGCCCGAAGATCAACGACTTGATCCAGACTGCCCGGCTGGGGCATGCGGTCGTCAGGCACTTTGTGGCGGCCATGCGCGCCCTGGAGTCTGCTGCCGGCAAGCAGATGTGCCAGTCGGCTCGCCTGAAAGGGTCAGTGGAGGGAGATGGCACTTTCATTACGTGCTTTCACATTTCACGGCAGAATCCTCACTACGCGGACCTCGTCTACTCCCTGGAGCAACACCTCGCGAAGAAGAAGCTGAAGCCACAGAAGGTGTATGTGTGCCACGTCATGCTCCTCGGTGTCATGGAACGTGGAGGCAGCCCGGTGATCTCATCTCCGAGCTTGCGGCTTACCCCCAAGGGTGAGTGCTCTGGTCCGCATTAGCATTGTGTGCGCATGTCTGTGGCGAATTGGGTGGGAGGGCTTTTCACACTGTAAACTTTGAGCTAGTCGATGCAGCCACGCTTGAGGCGCCCACCAACAGAGAGCTCTCAGCGCATCTGCACAAGCAAAACGACACTGTTCACAGACGGCAACCGCAGCTGGGTGCCGCTTGCCGCCAAGAAGGCCCTGAGGACAATGCAAGCCACGCACCAAGTGAAGCAGTTTGTGCGCAAAGCGCCCGGCAAGAAGAAGCCAGGTGTGTGCCAGATATGCGGGACGCAAGTTCTGGACAGATGCTGGCTTGACATGAAAACATGGCTGGGGCCGGCCAGCGGCATGGTCATCAAAGTCAAAGGCCACAGCCTGCTGAATCCCATGCTTCAAAGAGAAGCTCTTTCAGTGGGCTTGGCGCCGCACTTGCGGCGCGTGCAAGCCCGCAGAGTTTTTGGGGCAACTGGAAGAGTTGCTTTGACGGATGCTATCAGCCAGTGGAAGAAAACGTGTTTCCAGGACTGCTCCAGGGGACACATCAGATGGTTGTCGCAAGATCGTGGTCGCATCAGTTTGCAGAATTGCTATCTTTTAGTGAATCGACAACATTCTGTGAGATCGGCAGTTAGTTTGCGGGATTCCGTGAAAGCATGTTGAAGTTGCAATTCTACTGGTGGAAGCACTGGTTTTGCTAATTCCCACTGGAATTGCAAGCAAAGAGATCGAAGCAGCACAGTTGCATGAAAAACCATAGGAATATCAATGTTTTTGACCGCTTCGCTGCTGCGAGCATGACCAAAAACCCACGGCCATCTATGGCGCGTGGACCCCGTAGTTAGAACAACTACTGTCAATCATTTTATTTGCGGGATGCCCTAGTCTAAGTACTGCTAGCTACTGTTTACAACGGGGAGATGCCATAGCAGGGGTGGTAGCAATCAAGTGCAGCAAGCGCCTCACAGCGTGTCACCCCTGTCACCCCTGTCACCCCTCTGTCACCCCGTGTCACCTGCGTGTCACCCCGTGTCGCCCCCGTGTCGCCCCCCCAGAATGACAGTAGATCGCTGCGAGCTACTGTCGTTTGAGCGTGTCACCCCGTGTCGCCCCCGTGTCGCCCCCGTGTCGCCCCCGTGTCACCCCGTGTCGCCCGCGTGTCACCCTGTGTCACCGTGTCACCCTGTGTCACCGTGTCACCCCGTGGTCTTGTTTTTCACTGTTTGGGCAACATGAAACGACCGTAGATCGTGGATCTACTGTCGTTTACGTGATTTTCGGAACTACTGCCAAATACCCGGTAGTTAGTTCCGGAAAAAAATTTGACGGTAGTCGGAGGGTGCTGGATGTAATTGCTTGTCAGGGGTTGCAGAGATGCTATTTATTCGCAATCAACCCTGGAGGAATGCGGAAGCCGAGAATCGATGAAGTTTCCTCGCGAAAGCAAGAGATGCAAGCTTGCGCGAGAAGGGTTAAAAGGGCATATTGGGCCTATTTGGGACAGGGGTCGTTGCAGGTGTTTAGTACGCATTGTGTTTTTCATGAACTAGGATGACTTGGTGAGTGTTACGCCTAAGCCAAGTAGCTCGATACGCGTGAGCGTCTATTGTAGCAAGAGGTGCAAAGCTTGTTCCAAAAAGCCAGAGATAAGATAAGAGCACTCAATTTCCCAGTGTGAACAGCCACTGCGTGTCCAACCATACCTGCAGCGACCTGACCAAGAGCTTGCCTATGGCACATGTGATCGCTTCATTTCTTGCGGTTGGGGTGCTGCGGTGCCAGGGGCCTCTCCGCGGGCGTTCAGAGCCTGTATGAAGTGCTGCAGTCCAGAGTCATGTGCTTGGTGCTGAGACCTCAGGCCGGGTCCCGTTCGGCAAACTGAGCCGCTTGCATTCTAGGCTGAGGGGAGGGTCTTTTGGGAGATTTTAGCCGCTGACACCGTGAAAGTGGCTGGCGCAATTCTCTTTGTGTGGGGGATGGCCAAGCCACACCGGGGGAGCTCTGCCACACCTAACTGTGCCAGGCCCTAGCAGAGCATTTAGATTTTCCTTCCCAAGATGTTCAACTGCCGACTTGCCAGCAAGCTGAGCCCTGACGTAGTCCTGACGTGCTTCAAAGTGAAGCACGTATGAGAAGGCATAAAGCAGTGTGCTCGGTGTAGTTTCTGCCGGGGAGCAAGTGCAGGACGTAGCCATATCCGCTGTCCTTGGAATTGTTGAGTGTTGTCTACTTCCTGCGCTATTCAAGCCTGACTGCACATTCATGGTCAAGCCGGTGGCCTCGCATATGTGATGGCCTGCCTTTGTTGTTCATTATTCAGTTTTCTGGTGCCCAACACAGGGGTTCCAAAGACTTTTGAGCAAACTCGCGAACAAACACTGTGCCACCGGTACCCCGCGTGAGTGCGCGACTTGAATGGAACACTGAGAAAAAGTCTTCTGAATTCCTGCCATTTTGATCCGCAGGGCTCTCACGCATCTTCAAGCTCGAACGACGGAGCAGCAGCTTGGCAGCACGGGCAGCTGGGTTTTGCGTGTTGGATGCAACCCGATTTTGCGGCTGGCGGGCGGTCTGACCTGCTTGCAGCCATTTCATCTCCCGCAAATGGAAGCAGTGCAGCTTGCGGGTCGAACCATAGAGAATGGAGTAACCGGGCGATTGGACAGCAAACTCATGCGAATGCTTGCTGGCACCATATGCAGCGTGTGCTGGCGCTTGTCAAACTGCACATTTGATGCTGACCCCGGCTTGCCCTTTAAAAAGCAACCCTTTCAAAAGGCAACCCTATGCCTCTTGACTGGCGGGATTGAACGGTGAAAGCTCACTTCCACCCTGGAGAGATGCGTTTCACATGTGCACGAAGAAGCCACAATTACCAAAAGGGACAGCTGCGTTTCACATTCGCGAGAAACAGCCAGGAATAACATGCTGCATGTCTGTTTGTTGTCCGTCGGGGGGGATTTCAGGAGCCTATGTTATAGCAAACCTCCCCACTAATGTTTGGCCCTTTGGGGCGGCCAATGTCGTCGCCCCGAATCGGATGTGCGCCTCGCACTGTTTAGGAAGATGGTGAGAGCGAGCTGTGCTTGATGAGCCAGAGAGCCGCTTGTGCAGCACTTCACAGGCAGAATTCAGCTGATTGGTCATGGGCGATCGCTCGACCTTTTTCTGCTACATAGACTCGCATGCTGGACAAGGGGGGCATTTGCACGGTCAAATGGCACCAATCCACGGGCTGAGGATGTTTCTGGTGGTTGTGAGTCGCATGTTTTGTCGACCAGTTGGGCTGGCGTTGGGAAGCCCCTTTAGGTGTTTATGGCATGTTGATCTTCCTTGTTACAGGTTGTGCAGTCACAGCACTGGACAATAGTTTTACACATTTCTCGGTTCTTTGCACTCACGGATTGGCCCTTTTCCCCCCTTACCCCCCATTTGAAGCCTCCAAAGAGGCGCGAGTTTCGGTCGTTTTTTTCCCTGTTGGGTCGATTTGAGGTTTATCTGCACTGGCAGCTGGGCTCCAAGCTGCAGCACACCTTGGCCGGGCAGCCAAGCCGGTTCAGGAAGCAAGGCGGAAGCACGTGGCATTTCCAATCAGCACGTTTCACATGTGCTTGTTTTTTTGGTAGTAATGTGCCCAAGATTTCAGAATAAGTAACTCTTTGGCTGGTTTTAAATGTTTAGAGTCATCCCCTTCAC